TGATGACCAGCTAATATCTCCGGGCAGGTGGTGACGGTTGACTAATCACTTTTAGTTAGCATACTATACTGGAAACTAAATTGTGAAACTGCACTGAATACTTTCCCACACGAAGACAATATCTACTCAAATCAAAGGTTATGTTTCGTAACACACCAAGAGTGCACTATATAAAACGCTAAAAAAAGCCAGATGTCTTATATGGCTCTGAAACCTCAAGCATAACTGGTAATCTGGTAGTCCTAGTTTCAGTTTCATAACAAAAGGGTCACCCCATAGTTGCTCCGCTCCTGTGCCAACGAAAAATACACAGAATGTTTATTACAATTTCTTATGGAAAGATTGAAAGACTGCTGTCTCAGCATATGCACTAGCATACACACGCATTAAAAGCATCGGGTAGCCATCCGAAGTGCTAACACAAACAGTCCAACATTAGAAATGCAGTTCATTATCGATGGTATAAGAAGTCATCAATAGATCAGCAGTTGCACAGGCGATCAACTTTAATCACGTAATGGCACTACCAATATTGCGACAACGGGCACTGCGCTATTTTCTGAATTTACAATTCACACCATCACGTTGGTCACAGTAGAAAAGCATTCCAAATGAAATCAGCAGCTCACAGTGTCAAGCCATGCATACAATTCAAAAGTTGACCGACTAAACTATCTTTTCAGTCTACAAATGGAGCAAAAACGTCCTGGCAACCATCTGGCAGAAGCACACACACACAATTGCAACGGCTCACAACAGTGACCGTGCCTAGCGTTCATTTTGACCGGAAGTAGCAAGGGTTTATTAACGGTGACCCCAGTGGTGCCCTCGTGCTGGGGAAGGGGGCCAGAGGCGTAACGCCCATCAGCAAGGTGTTGCCCCATTACGACCTGACTGAATTCGTTAACAATTGTACACCCCACAACCATGCAGTTCTTTGGCACAAAGGAAAGAGATAAAGCCAAGCAGTTTAAACACATTCTTACGAGGAATCTTTGAACCCACCAAAGATTCGTAGTAAGAATGTTATCAAACAGCGTGGAGTGGAGAATGAGAAGCAAAGACGAAATTTATAATCTGTTTAAATCAAAAATGATCCGTTAATCACTAGTATCATCAAGGTTAATAGACTAAAATGACTTATACGGACAATGGCAGATGACCACAGAAGGGGAGGAATAAAACCGGACACAGCTACAAAGATACAGACCTTCAAAGATAGTGATTTCAATGTGGCGGCGCCCTGATGCCAACTCTTTAGCAATGTTTTTCTTGATCTCCTCTGCTTTTTCACTCAACAACTTTTATGTGTTCAAGGCGTTTTCTCTTTGTCACAACGTGTCTAAGGAGTGAAGTGAGAAGCATCGTGTCATAAGATCCTCTTTTTACCTGATTTCATTTTTTGGCACACATATAGGCCAATCCATCCATCTATCTATCTAGCTTTCCATCTATCCACTAGTATAGCCATCCATCATTCCATCTATTTGTCTCCCCGCCCATCTATCCCACCACCTACTCATCGATTCACCCCACCATCCACGATCTATCTATCTATCTATCTATCTATCTATCTATCTATCTATCTATCTATCTATCTATCTATCTATCTATCTATCTATCTATCTATCTATCTATCTATCTATCTATCTATCTATCTATCTATCTATCTATCTATCTATCTATCTATCTATCTATCTATCTATCTATCTATCTATCTATCTATCTATCTATCTATCTATCTATCTATCTATCTATCTATCTATCTATCTATCTTTCTATCTATCTATCTATCTATCTATCTATCTATCTATCTATCTATCTATCTATCTATCTATCTATCTATCTATCTATCTATCTATCTATCTATCTATCTATCTATCTATCTATCTATCTATCTATCTATCAGCAGGCCTTTCTGCCGGCCTGCCTGTTTGTCTGTTGGTATGTGTACGCTAGCACAGGCACCACTTTTATTCCATGCGGATGTACTAGTGTTATCCCCACGACCCATCCCTGGTTAACACCCCGTGTACGCTGTTGTGTCTGCTCCGCCTATTTCCCAGGTATGCTGACCCCGTTTTTCGCTTCCCGTCCGCGCGTTGGTAATATATAGGCTAGTACCTGTCCTATTCATCCTCTTGAAGGAAGTTTTTTGCCAGTAACACAGATAAGTATAATTTTTTTGTACATTAGAGTCCTATGTAGTCACTTTATAGCTAGAGAATATTTGTGTATGTGTACTGTGTTGTTCTTTATGTGCTGATAAAGGCTAATCGCCGCAACGTTCTTTGTTTATTGTGATCGATTTTGTAAAGCTAAAACTATTTATTCTTTCTTATCCACCTTTTCTCATCCCTATAATTTCCTACCTCTTTAAAAACTAAAGAGTAAATCAGGGGCAACCCCACCAGGACATCCACCAAGCGATAAACACTCGGTGACACAAAGGGCCACTATGCAGATGAGGATCACCGGGAGAGGTCTTAGAAGTCCCGTTTAACCTTTAGGTTATATTAGGGCCTCTAACTACAGCTGAGTGGGGCTTAAAATGACGAAACATTGCGTCCCAGACAGATAGTAAACGGCAGATAATAATGACGCATGCCTAAAGAATGTCGATTGACGCCTTATGGCGATGTTAACAGTTCTCTTTGTGGGTACCCAAAAAAATTCTTCATAAGGCCCATGATGGAAAAACAAGTCTGCTGGATGTCAAAACCAAATTAAGAATTGGCTTCTGGAATGTAAGAACCATGTTTGAAACGGCCAAAACCACCCAAGTAATTAAAGAAACGCAGAACTATAAACTGCATATTCTTGGAATTACTGGAAGCAGGTGGACAGGGTTTGGACAATCCACAACAGGTACAGGAGAATCCATAATATACTCTGGAAGAGATGATAACCTACATTCTGCAGGCGTGGCACTTATTTTAAAGAAAGGTATACACAAACATCTCATCGAGTGGCATCCAATCAATGAAAGAATAATGACAGCACGATTCAATGGCAAACATGCCAAACTTACAGTCATCCAATGCTACGCACCGACTAATGAAGCTGAAGATGAAGATAAAGAAACATTCTATAGGAGACTGCAAGAGGTAGTAGATAAAGTACCAGCCCATGATATTTTATGCATTATGGGAGATCTCAATGCAAAAGTTGGTAACAACAACTTGAATAGAGAACTATCAATGGGAAATCAAGGCTGTGGTACAATTAATGACAACGGGGAAAGACTGAGCGACTTCTGTACGGCGAATAGACTTGTTATAGGAGTAACACTATTTCCTCACAAGAATATACACAAGCTTACATGGACATCCCCAAACAGAAGAGATGTAAACCAGATTGACCATTTCATGGTAAACAGAAAATGGCGTGGGTCCCTACTCGATGTGTGTGTCAAAAGGGGAGCAGATGTGGGAAACGATCATCACCTTGTAGTTGCTCTACTACAACTTAAACTCAAAGAAGTTTACACGCAAGTTAAGGCACAGACAGCACGTTACAATGTTAACCTTTTAAGAGAAAAAGACATTGCCACTACATATGTAGTAGAACTCAAGAATAGATTTCAAACCCCATCAAGTGACCCAGAAACTCCAACTACAATCAGCATTCAAGACAGATGGAAACAGATCAAAGAAACATACAAATCAACTAGCAATAACATATTAGGAACCAGGAAACAACACCACAAAGAATGGATAAGTAGTCAAACCATGGATTATATTGCCAAGCGAAAAAGAATAAAGAGCCTCATAAATCACACTAAATCAGAACGTCAGAAAGACAAACTAGAATATAGCGAACTAAATAAAGTGACCAAGAAAAGTGCCAAAGCTGACAAAAGAAGATTTATGGAAAATCTTGCAGAAACAGCAGAAAATGCTGCTAAAGCACATGATCTACAAACCCTACACAAAATTACTCAGCAAATTTGCGGAAACAAAAACAATTGTCACAGCATACCCATCAGAGATAACCAAGGCAGACTGCTCACACCAGAACAAAAACAAGACAGGCAGTGGACTAAACACTTCTCCGACCTCTTGAACAGACCTGATCCTGAAAATCCCCCAGATATTCAACCAGCCTCTCAGGACATTGACATTATTACTGAACCACCAAGCAAACAAGAAATCCTTAAAGCTATCCACACTTTAAAGAACAACAAAGCACCAGGCAAAGACGAACTGCCAGCAGAACTTCTCAAAGTAGATCCCAACACAACTGCTAGCATTCTAGAACTATTGTTCAAGGATATTTGGGAAAAAGAAGTGTTGCCTGATGACTGGACTGAAGGAACAATAGTCAAAATCCCCAAAAAAGGAGACAACAGACTGCAATAATTGGAGGGGAATTACTCTATCCTCAGTACCAAGCAAAATATTTTGTAAAATTCCAGAAAAAATAGTCAACATAATTGCTCTCTTCTATAAAGACTTTTCCTGCAGTATAAAAAATTACAATACATCTTTCCCAGTAAAGACTGGTGTAAGACAGGGATGTGTTATATCATCTCTCCACTTTAACCTTGTGATTGATTGGATACAGTAGACAGGACATTAAGAGGCATACGATGGACTCAATTCACCATGCTTGAGGACCTTGATTTTGCAGATGATATAGCACTCCTATCACATAAACATGAACATATACAAGAGAAAAGTAACAGACTAAACTGCACAGCAGAAATGGTGGGACTGAGAATAAATACAAAGAAAACTAAGATCATGACAAGCAGTCCAAACCAACAACCAGTGACCATAAGTAACCAATCACTTGAAAATGTAGAATATTTCACATATCTTGGTAGTGTGGTGTCCCTACTGGGAGGGACAGAAGAAGACATACAGTCACGTCTGAACAAAGCTAGAGCTGCTTTTGGAAGGATGAGGCAAATCTGGAAATCCAACAATTACTGCAGAGGAACGAAACTCTGACTCTACAAGAGCATCATTTTGCCAGTTCTTCTTTATGGAGCGGAGTGCTGGAGAATGACCAAAAACGATGCACACAAGCTGTCCACCTTCCACCACACATGTCTACGTAGAATTATCAAAATCTTCTGGCCAGATACGATCTCAAACACTAAACTACTTCAAGTCACAAACCAAGAAACTTTTGACAGTATGATTACCAAGAGAAGATGGAAATGGCTTGGCCACGTTATGAGAATGACTTCTGATATACCTGCCAAAACAACTCTCATATGGACACCAGAGGGAAAGAGAAAAAACAACATGGAGACGAACGATGGAAAGTGACTTGAGTACGGCATCTTTGACATGGAAAACTGCACTGAAGATTGCACAGGACAGGAAAGTCCTCTCTGAAGCCTCATGTGCCACTAGGCATAACGAGAACTGATGATGATAATGATGATTGACTCCGACACACCAGGATAGGGTATAGTTTGACACCGCTCCAGCAGACAGGGGAGATGACGCTGGTTTTGTTGACACTGGTCTGAAGTCCTGAGCTTTAGACCTACCTAGCTATGAGATGGCATCTACAGTAACTCGAAAGTTTGGGCTTTCTAAACCTCTCAGTGTTTTCAAATATTACAGATGTATATCAAATGTACCAAGCCGTGATGCTGCGAGGTTAGATGTTGATTATTAATTTTTGTTTGTGATATGATAAATATCGTATTGAACTACTACTACTAGTACTATCGTATGACATTTGCAATAACTTACTTACGTCCTTTTCAGGACGTAATTTTTTCTTATTTGAAGCCCCACTCTGGCTTTTGCCAGGGGCCGCAATATAGGCAGGCCATAAAAATGGCCAAATGTCTGAACGCGGTTTCTGGGACCTCTCCACGGTGATCCTCATCCACATGGTGGCACGTTGTGTCATCGGGTGTTTGTCGCTTGTGTGATGTCTTGGTGTGGTAGAAAGTCACTCACTCACTCATTTGCACAACAAAAAATAAATATCGAGCGAAAAACACTGAAAGAAACCTGCCACAACATCATCATCATCATCCTCATTGCTGATGTGCCATCGCCACAATCACCATGGTTTTCCTTTTCCTGTTTATACTTTGTAATGTACTGATGTAAATAATTATGCATCAGGAGTTTCCCCAAAAGTAATATCATCCTCATTGCCGATATGCCACCACCATGATCACCATGCCTTTTTGCATGATTATGAATGCACTTGTGTATTTATGTAATGTGAATATAACCATCATCATACTCATCGCCGATATTCCATCACCATGACCACCATGTTTTTACCTTTTACACGCTGTAAAATGTATGTAAGTAGGATATAAATATATGTATATATAAGTATGTATGTATGTATAATGTATGTATGACATAATGAAATGAACAAAAACAATGCCTATATGTATTTTCAAGGGAAACGTCTCTTGACGTTGTCTCGCCAACAAACATACGAGTGGTGTCCCTCTCTTTCTAAGTCCAGCCCCATTTTGTTCTTTTCTGCCTCGCTGTCCTATTTTCTGTCAATTTGTTTTGTTGGTAATCATATTATGCATTGTTCTTTTTACCACACATGTCTTCATTTAACACCTCATATAGCTAGTTTTTGTTAGCCCATCAACACATGTCACCAGCATCAATGAGCGGCGGCCCACCCCCTATTCCCCCCACATCCTTTTCTGTCTTCTCCTCTCCCTACAATCAAAGATGCTTGGTGACATGGAGTCTAATGAAAACATCATTTGCTACGTTGAATAAATACATGTACATTACCACCGAAATGTACCGTTTCCGCTGACAGACCTAACAGCCCCAGCTTTCCTTTAACCGCCCGATCCTCTCGGCCTCCCTCCGTCTCTATTTTCTGTTAAATGTCAGTGAGAAACGGTACAAATCATCATCATTTTATTCACATCATCTTATTGATTTTGCTTTTGTTTCACAAGAGATTTTTAAAAAACCAGATGAGATGAGATAAAGACCAGAAACGTCACCACAAATATAGCAGACAGAAAAGAGAGCAGCAATGCAATCTGACCTAGCTGAAAGTGGTCAACGTTAAAGATAGATAGATACAGATGAATAGTAAAAGGCCACTAATAATAATAATAGGGATCTCCTCCAAATAACAGTCCCAAATTATCTACACAGAAAGTGAACCCTAACAGAGCCTCAGTCATATCTACAATTCGCATTTCTTCTGCATCGAATCAACCGCGTCAAAAGTAGGATTAATTTCGCACAACATTTTAGCGAAATGCAACAGATTTTTTACGTCGATTAAACGCGGGCAAAACTAGGATTAACTACCTACGAAAAATTAGCGACACGCAAGAATACACTCGATAGGGCTATCCTACGGAAGGGGCCTCAGTTATATGTAAGTTACGGACCACTTTTCGCAGAGTATAGTGCCACCTCCGAGAGTATCCGGCGCAGAAGGGGCTAAACTAGAGGTCTGAGACTCATGAGCACAGAGTCTTTTCCTGCAGCGTCCTCCATTGTATTTGCTCATGAGTCCTAGCCATCTAGTTTAGCCCCTTCAAACCGCGCGTAGCGGCGCAAGGGATACTCTCGGAGGTGGCACTATAGTCACCGGAAAAAAGTCTACAAGTTACATGAGTTACTTCTTCCCACTGAAATACCAGCCTGGTCGCATTCGCCACGGTCAAGGGGTGGTCGGGATAATGGAACACCATCGTGGCAGCTGCTGGTTTGAAGTTGTCCCGAGGCGACATGCGCGCACATTTAGACGCGCATTACTGATCATTTCTCACCCGGAACGAGAATCGCTGATAAGCCATGCCCTGTTCTCATCTTATTTGGCTGAGTTGCAATGGCGGACAGCGAGAAAGGGCAGATATTCGCACACTACTTGCAACTTCTGTGCCACAACTATCACATAGAAAGGATTTAATTTTCGGTAAGTAGTAGACTTTGCCCTTTTCCTTAGTTTTTCCTAGCTACAGCTTTTAAATGTTTTTAGGGCAGGACGTAATGAGGCTCTGTTAGGGTTCACTTTCTGCATAAATAATTTGGGACCGTTATTCAGAGGAGAGCCAATAATAATATTAATGACGTCCTTTTTAGGATGCAATTTTTCGTTGTTTGAAGCCCTACTCTGGCGCATGCCAGGGGCCGCAATATAGCCCGGCCATAATTATGGCCTAATGGCTGAACGCAGTTTCTGGGACCTCTCCACGGGTGATCCTCACCCACATAGTGGCACATTGTGTCATCGGGTGTTTATCGCTTGTGTGATGTCCTGGTGGGGTAGAAAGGTGAATTGAATAAATTAACAAAGTAAAACAAAAGCAAAAAAGATGGTTGTACTTGTACGCTAAGCACAGCTCTCTGTCCACAAGTACAGAACTTTCTGCTCAGAATCAGTCAGGCTACTCTACCTACAAAAAGTTTCAAACTTTATTGTCCCTTAAACACATTTGCCAGCCGCCTTAATAAACAAAAATATAGAATACAATACATTACAAACTGCACACTTGAAAAAATTAATGAAACCGACATGATGTGTCTTATTACATATATGTATACATAAATGCTCTATATATAGACGTGTGTATATGTGGGGGGGGGGGGGGGGGGGGGGGGGGGAGGTCAGAGTATGAAGAAGTGTTTTGTTCATGCAGTAGTCTATGTGAATTTATCATTGTGATTGTTTTTATGCACTGTCTTATCTGGCTATCCTCCGAATAACGGTCCTAAATTATCGAGGTGGAAAATATACCCCAACAGGGGCCTCAGTCACGTGTCAATTGCGCACTTCCGTCGTCTTAAATTGCGCGCTTCCGGCTACTTTCGCCACCGCCGAGAATACCCCCTATGCCGCGTGAGTGGCGTGGATTGGGACTAAACTAGATGGCTGGGACTCATGAGCAGCAGCTACCGCATATCCTGCAGCTTCCTTCATTTTATTTGCTTGTGAGTCCTAGCCCCAATCCACGCCGCGTGAGCGGGTATGGGGGAAGTGCGCAATTGACACGTGACTGAGGCCCTGTTAGGGTATATTTTCTGCCTCGATAATTTAGGACCGTTATTCGAAGAATATACTCTTATCTCAGTGAGACAATACAGAACACAGTTTTGCATTGCTGACCCTAACAACATTCTGTATAGTATTTTCTCAATAGTATGTACACGTCTAAGTCCCCTTTCTGTGTAATTACTTCCGGTAACACCCCTGATGCCATTTCCCCCCATGGCTGTCACTAAATGTACATAAATCTTCCACTGCAAAATAGATGATGGCCTAGCTTTGCACCGGCTGTCCAGCGACCCTGTAAAGGGATAATCATGGGACTTTTTCCATAATTTCAAAGCGAACAGTGGTCTAAAATTTGCCTGATCCAAAAGTTAGGGAGGGCGAGGAAGGAAGGGAAAAGAGAGAGAGAGAGAGAAAGAGAGAGAGAGAGAGAGAGAGAGAGAAGTCTGGAAGAAGGCAAGGTATTAGAGATGCTACTTGTAACGGTAGCGAGTGAAAGACAAAGGGAAAAGGGGAGAGAGGGATATATATATATATATATACTCATTTCCTAACATAAAATTTACCACCTCATGGAAAAATAAGGGACCATTTCGGCTGTCAGAAGCAAAACATGCAGCGAATCGTTTTATTATATTTACACGACCCTTGGGTGACCTTTCACTGTCACACTGCCTAAGCCCTAGAGGCGAGGTGAACCCTGGAAACCGCCCGGTTTTGAACACCGACCATGGCTGCAGCGAGTCGCAGCTGGATTTGAAAGCAAGCCTCCTATCGACTGCTCTAATGTGGCTCCATTAGTATTTATGCTTAGTCTTTTGGCATTACCTGATTCCTCTATAGCTGCAGAATGTTTCTCTCTGCTTATCAATATTATTTTTTTAGTCGATTTCTGTTTGAAGACTTCAACAAAAAATGCCTTGATGAGGTAACAAGTTATTGCTCAAAGACATTAACTGCACCCACTGGAAGCCGTCACGACAGCTTCGAAACAAACAAGACGAAAATAAAATGGTACAGCACTGTAATGGACAAATAATTTTAACTTTTATGCTGTTCGGTATTTAACAAAAACCAAATTGGAAACAATACGTAAGGGACATAACCGTTTTACTATTTCTGCGCAAGGGAAACCACTTTCAATGCTTTTATATTCTTAGTACAATACAGTATCTGGCATAGTTTTTAAAATAACTGATATTTTAAAAAATTGTTTTTAAATGTACGTCTATGATTTTTTAAGGCAGTATATTGAAGTCTGAAGATTTTTTCTTGTCCTATTAAATATACATATTTATTTTAAAAATTAATAAAACTACTCAAGCAGCTTTTGTTTATATTGGGCCCAACTGTTATTGGATGACTTCAGTTTTGTTAGCCATGTAATGAAAAAATGGTTTTTCTTTAAAAAGAAAAAAAAAAAATTCTTTGGCAGGCTACACTATGGTTGTAGCTTAGTAACAGGGGAAAACAAAAGTGAACAGATCTGTATATACTCTTTTTCTTCATAATCATCCTCATTACTTCATTACACGTGAACCAAGGCATTCTGGTAGAAGATGGCGAAGCAACAGGACCATTCTTGACGGTCTGCTTTTATTTTAGTTTCAGCCCATGCTTGTCATGAAAGTGATGGTTCACATGC